TGGTAAAAAGTTTAATGTTGATAACTTATGGCAATGTTTTTAGACCACATTTGCAGAGTTAATCATCTATATTTACAAGGATATATTGTGGTGTGACGGTTAATGAGAATCACATTATATAAATAATACATCACAGATTATCACTTATTTCAAATATACAATAATGGTATCTATTTATTTCCAGTCAGCGTAAATTACAGATCTCGAAACCGTCCATAATATTACATATTATCTTTTTAATATACAGAATTTTAACCATATATTTCTCCTCACTAACAATGCTTATAGATCTAATTACACGTGCGAGCCCTGAAACTGACCAGTTCACAATCTGTTTGAATCGTCTTATATTGCTAATTAAAATTAACTTAAATTAAACTAAAACTAATGTTACTTAGGTTAGAGAAAGAAGATAGGAAGATTATGTTAGAAGGGGATCCCTTTTGTTTGTCTAGCAAGTTTGGCAATTTGTGATGTCTATCACAGTTAATTGAGAGGATACAACCTGACCCATATGAATACCTTTTGATGAGATGAAATATCCATATACAAATCCTCCTTTATATCTCGATAGTACTAGTTCTTTAATACAACTTCTCTGAATCTCTGTCGACTGAGTCTTTCTCGGGTTCCTTCCTTGTTGTCACACCTCGTCTCACTCCTCACTCCCGTCCTCCTATGCCAACAATGCTCATAGGTCAAAAAAGAAAAACCCTTTGAGCCCAAAACTCGCCAGAAAATGCATGTAGGTTGGAAGATTCGAACATGAATAGGGAAAATAGTGTGTGTTAATTAGGTAGATGAAGAGATCACGGATGACTTATAAGGTCTATTAAATAAAACATATATATATCCTTATGTTGTAAATATAGACGATTAACTCGGCAAGTGTTATATTGTCTGCATGTCTGCATGTGTTAATTCAATGTAAAATGAATAAATAACAATAAATAATTTGTCTACTACAATTTATTTATTAATAATATTTTTGGTTTTTATAGTACTTTAAACTTTGAGAAAGCAAGTAAATCACAATTGAAAGAGCAAATGATAATCTGAATGTTTTGATAAATTATAATTATTAGAAATGTATATACTCTCAGAAATGTATATAGTTCATCTTAGTTCAGGAATAAATTTTCAGCCTTCCTAGTCACCAAGTCTTGACTGGGAGTATCATCTCCATCACTATCCTTATCTTTTTTAGTTTTTAGGTGTTTTTCCAAAACAACTTGTTCAGTAATTGCATCTACACAATCCTCATTTTCATTGCAACACAGAAGGTTAGCAATGTATAAAAATTCTTTGTAATTTCTAAAATTTTGTAGTTTAGAAATTTTACTAACATTTACTAACATCATTGGTTATATCTGGTATTTCCTGTTCTAAAGTCTTAAAATTGTAATCAGAAAAGCAGTTTTGAATTGTGCTCCAGTTTACTTTTCTTCAGCTATCAGTGGTATATTGTATTGCTTATAAAATAGTAACCTTGGAACCAATTTCATCTGCTTTTGTAGATGATGATAAGATATTTTCTTCAATTGCTTCAAGGATATATTGTACCAGCCTTCTGCAATACATTTTCAAATTTTTTTATGATTCCCATATCCAATGGTTGTATCAGGAACATGGCATTAACTGGAAGAAACTCTAGATGAATGTTTTTTAAACACTACATGAGGATGAACAGCAGAGTTGTTCAAGAATAGCGAAACTGTTCTTGACTTTTTCTGAAGTTCTAATTTCAACTCGCAAGCCACTTCAGAAAAATATTGGAAATCATCCATGCATTCTTGTTGGCATAATACTTAACTGGTAAACAGCAATTCTAAGACCTTTAAAACACCAAAGCTTAGCATGTTTTGTAGTGATTAATAGCTTTTATTTATCACTTTCTGACATATTACAGCAGCACAATACAGTAATGCAATTCATTCCTTTTTTTAAATCTGACAGAACTTCATGTTTATAATTCAGGGAACCATCTGGGATAGCATGATAAAACATCTCAGTTTCATCTGCATTGTAGATATGATCAGGACTAAATTTCTACAGCAATTCAGGCAACTTAGTTGATTTCCAGTCTTTGGCACTCATAGTGTCAGCATTGGTTTTTCACTTGCTGTCTTAAATTTTATTTTGTGTCTGGTTTTCCATTATGATAACCACTCATCTGTAGCTTTGAAATTGATGTGATCCATCTTTATAGCTAACTGTTCTGATTTGGTTTTTAACGTCAGTCCATTAACATATTCCCATATTCTGTCCCAATAAAGTGATGGGATGTTCCAAATAAGTGAAGTAAATTTGCCTTATATTGTCTCCTTTGTTTCTGTCTTTCAATATATGTCCCAAATACTGTAAATGGTAGTCCTGATTAACCAGCATGTACTGTATTTCAAATATATATATATTTTTAACTTTTTCTTTACTGTGGGAACTAAGAGAGTGTTCCTAGCAAGTCCATTGTGAGTTCAGCCATCCCACAATGGAGTGGCTGGGCAGTGAGGAGTGGTGCCCAACATATATGGACAGACCACAAAAATTTCAGGGGATTTTAGATCCCTGGTAGGCTGGCACCTTAACTGCTTGGTCATCCAGCCATTTAATTTCAAATATCTTAAATATTTCAGATAATTGATTTCATATATTTAATTTTGACATCTGTGATTTTATAAGATAATTTTAAAGATAAATGATACTATCCATCAGAATTAATCATCATTTAGATAATGTAATCATGATTCAAAGTGTATTTTTTAACACTTTTTATTTGGATAATGATTTTTATTTTGTAATATTTTATTGATAAAATGTTACAATTAAATATTTTTCTTTGTGATTAAATAAAAGATTAATGCTTGAAATTTGTAGAAACTTTTAATTAATACAGAATTTTTCAACATTTATAGTTATATTTTTATATTTATAACTTGTAGAAAAGCAATAAAATTAATAGCCCATATTATAAGAATACAGAAATAGAAATTTGTAGTAATTTAGAGATTATTCTTGTATTTAATATTGGATATTTGATATTTAAAACATCTTTGTTTTAACTATCAAAAACTTTCAAATACTTTGACTTGGAGATTGTGCATGCAATTAAAAATGATAATTATTTTCAATTGAATCTAATATATGTTTTATAGCATTATGTAAAGGAATATTCTTTATTTATTATGTAGGAGTAAACTAAAGTATAGTACACTTTGAATTAAAAAGTTGAAGTTGCTTGACTGGAATTTTATTTTACAAACTTTTAAAAATAAACTAAAAGATGATGATTTTAATCTTCATATAGAAACAATGATGATAAATTTTGCTGACCTGTTTTTTTGACTTGAAAGTCTAATTATCCTTACCATCATATTATGTTTTTCACTATAACCATATTGAAAAATTTATTTAATAAATTTAAAATATGAAATGGTTTGATTGGTGTTTCCTTTTATAAAAATTTAAAAACAACAGTTTACAAAGTAGTGTGATTTTTTTTTTTTTTTAGATTGTAAATATTCTGGATTTTATTTAAATCTGTGAAAAGAGGTCAGTAAAGTTTATTATTACTTTTTTCTTTATGAATAACAAAATTATTCTCCTTTTTAGATTATTTTTTAAAGTTTCTCTAAGAAGGAATACTGATAAATTCAAAATTTAATTTTATTATACAGTATAAATTTGTAGGTATGGCATCTGATGAAAGATATAACATAGTAATAATTACAAACCTCATGCTGTATAAAAGTTTACAAAAACTAACAAGGTTTAGCATTCTTTTCTACTCATTGAAAGTTAAGATTGTAGTTTATTTCTTTATTTATTTACTAATTTTATTCAGTAAAGCTTTACTGTAAAATGTTTGGCTGTTATATTCAATCAGTTCTAAAAATTTGTGATTTAGTAAAAATATTCTTAAATTTAAACATCACACAGTTCCTATCTCATATTAATAAAAAAAAGTGTTTAACTCTGCAAAAGCTAGCTATGTTAGTTGACATTTGCCAGCCCAATATCTTGTTTCATGAGTAATTTATAGATGAGTGATGATTCTCTTTTAAAATATAATAACTTTATTATTATTATTTTAAGAGAGATTCATCTTCTGCTAAAAATAAGACAAATGGCATATTGTAGTGAGCAGACAGAATAATCTATCATAAAATATCATTTGTTCAGAATGTTATGTTAGTTATTTTAATTGAGTGAATATTATTATAACTATATATTAACAACAATAATATAATGCCCCATTAATAACTTTTTATTGTAATATGTAAATACATTACTGTGAAGACTGTAAATAAGTGACATTCATGCACCCAGATCATTAACCTGAACATCAGATATATTTTTTTATTTAAATTTAATGATTTTTTTTATTGCAATTTAAATCTGTTAACTGTTGTTTTAAAATTCTTGTTTGTGAAATGTAAATTCATAGTAAAAGTCTTATATAATATAGTTCTTGTTTTACTTAAAATTGAAAGAAGGCAACATATTTTGACTCCTTAAAGCCTGCTCCATTCATTCAGCATTAATTAATTGTTGAATAATTGCCTATTCATTTCCTTTGATTTGACACAATATACTGACAAGGAGCAAATACCAAACATTAGTCACCGGTAAATCATCTTCATTGTTTGGTATTGGCCAAATGTTTGCTCAGCATTTGGCAAATACTGAATGTGTGGAACCACCTTAAGATACACAGCCCAAAAACAAGTAGAAACATTTTTAATTAATTGAAGAAGTATTAAATTTAAGACTTCTTTAGTTAATTAAAAATATTTTCACATTCTTTTGTGAATCATATATCATATTGCCTAAAATTCATAAACAATTATAGACAAATTTAAAAGTTTTAAATAATATTTGTGATATAACTTTATCATAAAGCAGATTTGAATTGAGCATTTAAATAANTATAAAAATTTTTTTTATTAATATATTATATTAGTGCAATAAATATATTTTAATATTTTTATATATTCATTTAGGTCATAATGAACCAGAAACTGTTCAATTGGATGCATTTATACAAATTAGCAATAAGTTAAAATGTATTGCTTCTTGTAATTTCGATTATATTTCTGATACAATATATCAGATTGCCAAAATGCTTACTGATGGAGTTGACAATGAAAATATGTGGAAGAAAGTTGAATATTTATGTAAAGAATATATGGACACTACATCAGTTTCAAAGTCGGAAATGGATTTGTGCCTGACGGCTGCCATTAAATCACTACATTTACCCGTTTCTTGGAGTTATGCTAGAAACAGTATTGAAGGTATTTGGATATAATTAAAATTTTTAAAAATGTTTTTGTGTAATGAAAAAATTATATTTACAAAAAATACAAATAGTTTTTCTTGACATAAACTTTGAATTCTATCCATTCCCATTAGAAAAATCTTATTTAAGTATCAAATCTGTTGATGTTATATTTTGCATTCATTAGAAATTGATTAGTAATGAGTAGAAATATTTATTTATAAAATTATTTACTGTAAAGAATAACCACAATATTCTTTCAAGTATTCTGCGTACAAGTAAACTGAACCAGAAATACATTGGGTAATTGAAAATGTCTCATGTATTTCAATTATGTATTGAAGAAGTATTAAATTACTACAGTATATGTATATTTTTAAATTAAGATTGTTTTTCTCTTATTTTACACATTTATATTATTATTTCAGATTTTACTGTTCCCAACGACACATTATTCCATTTAGTTGCATGTCTTGGATTTGAAAAGCTGGCTCTGTACTTACTGACCATACCAAATAATCATTTTGCATTACAGATGGTAAACCACAATGGTTATCTACCAGAACAAGTTGCATATAATAAACAATTTTCTGAATTAGCAAATCTACTAAGAATGTAAGTCATTGTTTTGAATAAATTATTTCTTCAGATGTTTATCTATAAGTACATATTTTATTTGTTCAAAAAAATGACAAAAAGGGTTTGTATATATATATATATTTTTACATTTTTGGATTCAAGGGTCTCAAAATGTCAAGATTTGCAAAAACACAGAGTCAAATTTGACATGATTCCAACACTTTCTCATGTTAAATGTATAAAAGTCAGGAAAGTAAAACACATTAAAAAACACTGGAAATTTTGCTCTTTCTGCAGAGACTTTATAGTACCTTGTAAAATATTTAAAATATTCTAAGAAAAAAGTTTAATCCTATTATGTATGATGTTTCAGAGAGTGATAAATAATGAAGATTTCATCCAAAACAAGATTATTTTTAACATTTTACAAGTGACTAAGACTTTAAAGAAAAATCAAGACCATCTTATTGTTTTTAATGTTGATTACAGTAATTATGTGGATGAGCGATGTGATTTTCATTTTTAATGGCGTTTTTAATTTTATGAATGAATGTATGTAACAAACATTTTTCCGAAATTGTTTCATTTCTAATAAGTAAGATTGATCATAGATTTTAAAAATTTGTTGACATTCGATATTAGTAAGAAAATTACTTGAGGATGATTTACATTGTTTAATATACAGAATGTTGTTCCTAGTCTTGGAGAAAATTGTAGCAGTTTAAAAAGAAAAAGTTTATTGTATTTTATTTACTTTATTTTCCATGATAGAAATAAAATTTACTAAATCTTATTGTTCTGTGAGTTCTGTATATCACAGTTTATTAATTTTGAAATTTTCCTGTAGTATTTCAGTATTATATATCTTTAAATTTAAATCAAATGTAAATTTTATATTATTGATATATTATTCAGTATGAATGCACAAAGTATTATCATCAAATGATGATCATATTTTTCTCATTTAAAATTTCATCTTTCATCCTTCACTTAGGATTGTTGAACTTGAAAAGTTTCTCAAACTTATAATCCATTGAAAATAAATTACTTCAGTTTTCTACATAAAATTCATTATATTTTTAAAAATTCAATATTTTCCTATTTATATTTAAATATTTTTTACTGTTAGAAAACTCATATTATGATGAGTTTATTCAATTTTAAACTGTTTTATTTCAATTAATTTGTTGTTGTTAAAGTTTATTCTGTGTTAGGACAAAATCCTAACCAAGCATTTAGATAATTAATTATGACATCAGTTTAGTTATCTGTTTTTTCATATAGATCTGAAAAGTAAGTACTTCATTTATTTTGCCATAAAAGGAATATTTATATATAGTGTCTAAAAGATCTTAAATTATTATGACAATGTTTTCTTAAGGCTAAATGATTGTCAGATTATAATCAGGTTTATATATACAGTATATAAATCTGATTGTATATTTAAACAAATTTCACGAAATCTAATAAATATTTCTGCAATTATATTTAATTAATTACTAAATAATTTATCACTAGAGGACAGCATTATGAGACATCTCTTATTAGATTTAATAATTATAATTAAATTAATATTTATTAAATAATTCAGAATATTCTGGAAGAAAAGAATCGGCCAGACTTGATTCTGCAACTCTCGTTGTGTTGCCAGTTATGTTTCTGGAGCTTCTGGTCTGATATTCCTCTTCCAGACATATTTAAATATGATATACAGTAATCATCCTTGGTAAGTGGGAGTTGCGGGTTCACATCCTGCTCTGGGCCGATTCCTTTCTTTCAGAATATTCTAAATTTATGATGCTTAAAGCATTCCTGATGAAAAGTAGCCTGATGTTATCTGGTGGTTGTTTGGCTTTATAATAAGGTTTTTACATGTCATGTTTATATTTGTACAGTATTTTCTAGTTAGTAATTTAGTGATTTGTAATTTTTGCATAAATGTATTGGGATTAAAATGTAGATGAACTGTTTGTAATTTTGAACATATATGTATATATAAAAAAAAATATATATATATATATATATATATCATCACCATCATCTAGTGTTGCCACCAGGCCGGTTTTCACCCAGACAAGCCGGTTTTTAAATTCAAGGTTTGGATTAATTATTAATTTGTCTGATTTTCATAGAAATTGTGAAGTTATGATGAAACAAAGTAAATTTATAAAAATATTTGCGAGTATTTTATTTTAATGGTTAAAGACTAACTTCACACCCCTACCCAAACTTATCCCTGGGCTAAGAGTGACAGAAAATGCACTTTTAAAATTCTAACTTGCAAATATCTCTGGCAAATATTAGGTTTGTTCCAACAGCAGTCCCTAACTGGTTTAAAACTGGCATGCACATTGTTCAGTTTTTGGTTGTAAAAAGGCATTGCGCATGCGTTGTACAATTTCAAATTCAAACCAGTCAGGGACTTGTGTTGGAACAAACCTATTGTAAAGTGAATGTGACAGTTTCAGTTTACAAGTTTATAATTTCAATTTTAATTATTTAATATGATAACTGAAGAAATTGAAAACCAAAAAAGAGGAACTGAACTTGTAAATTTGATAAAGATTGGCTGACACAAAATAAATTCTACTCACAATAAAAAAAAAAACCAAATTTTTTTTATTTCTAAGTATAACATCCTAATTTTAAAATGTCTGGGTCAGCAATTTTGAAAAGGTGGCAACACTTCCATTATTATTACTACTGTCAATATATGATATTCAAAAAATTCTTTTTATAATCATATTGATTAATTAAGCAATTAAATATTTTATATGCAAAGTTGAATATTATAGTTTTCTCAAAAAATATTTATTCAAATTTATGCTTTGTTATTATGTTTTTTCTCATTAGATGAACTGGATTTATTTTCTACAGTCAATTTTTTATTCTTTTCCATATAAAACATTTTACACCAGATCTTGTTGACCTTGTATCACATAAAATAAATGTTAAAGCTCAATTATAATAATTGTTACAAGATTATATATATATATATATATATATAGATATAGATATANATATATATATAAAATGAAAAAGTAATAAAATGAATTCTTACTTTATGTAGAACAGTAAAAACAATTTATATGCAATATTTATTTTTTTTTTCCTGGTTCTATATAATATGCAAATAATAATCAAGGCAAAATGGTTTAAGAAAATTTACTTGTTTTTTAGTTTGGATGACTTCTCAGATTAAAAAATTGTTTTTTACTGTAAAAATTTGTAACTAATTGCCTTATAAACATTTTTTTATAATTTTATTTTATTTTTTAATAAACACTCAGATTCTTTGACTATATTGACACAACCACCTTATGTAACTGAGAAATACTATTTATTATCCTACAAACATTTTCTACCTGCTCCACAGGTCATCATCAGGTATATTGAAATTTATGGAACATTTCCTTGTATCTGTTCCAGTTCAAACACTTACGTGCAACCAAAATTCAAATTTCTGTATCTGTTTGAACAATTTGTTTAAATATACATATATAAAAGATAAATAGAAAATAACTAAATACATCTTATCTTACAATTTAAAATACATCTTATCAATACATTTTATCTTATTGTTGAATCAAGTGGTACAGTTTAATTCTCCAGAATTTATAATCATTGTTATGGATTACATGCAGATATAAATTATTAATGATAAGAGAAACTTTGTAAGTTTTGAGATTACTTAATTTTAGAAGTAAAAATATATTGCAACTATATATTTGAAGTTTACATCTGAATGCTGCTCACTTGTGTTTAAAGTAGTTGTAGTTTTGATATTGTTTTTGTGAGGTATTAGATGAATCTGATATACACACAAGGGTTGTTCAAAAAGTAATGCACCATAATTTAAATCTGGGAAATGAAGACTGTGACATGGCTCTACTTTTGAGGAGTTGTAGTTGGAAGCTTTTGCTAATGTTGTGGAAAATTTCAAGTTCCCCCACCAGGCAGGACCACTACAGCTTCATTGAAAAATGGTGTGTGTCAGTGATATACTGGTACATTCCAAGCAGCATAAAGTGATAAAATTCCTTATTGCTGAAGGGGAACTGTTGGAAACATTCACAAATAATTGTATGGTGTCTATGGTACTGCAGCTGTCAATTGAAGCACCATCAGTTATTGGGTAAAATGTGTGAAGTCAACAACAATAGGAATGGCAGATCTCTGCAATTTGGCACAAAGCAGTTGTCCCACCACAACTGTCATGGCAGCCTTGAGGTGAAGAAGCAGCTCACGATTGACCAAAAAGCAGCAACAAAAACCATTGCATAAAAACTTGCAACACTATGAGTTTGATGGTGATGAGTTCCAGTCAGAGAAGATATTGTCAGTGCTGTGAGGAAGTGGTTGCATGCACAGAATAGGACTGGTACCGAGCCAGTATACATGCCCTCCCTCAATGCTGGCATATGACCAAAGGCAAGTGTGGAGACTTTGTTGAAAAATAACATGATAGCTGAAGGTAGCAGCTACGACATGCCCAAGTTTCACAATTGTATGTTTCATACTAGAAGCAAAATTAATTCTGGTGCATTACTTTTTGAACAAACCTTGTATATATGCAACTGAATACTATAACATGATTTAATTATGTCAGTATGTATATGTGTATGATTTAACACAGAAAGAATATGAATTAGTGGGCTTTCTATCACACTGATGAGAATTTGCTTTGGAATGAATTTTATGCCAAAGCAAACTCTCCAAATGGCTGAAGGTGTTATCTTTTAGCAAAATTATAATCATCAGTGATGCAACATGAATAGCCTACTTTAGATTAAATTTGCTGTCAAGAAGGTTTTTTTCTCCTAATGTAGGGAAAAGTAAGGATCCTTAGTGGTTGTTGCTACACCCAATAAATTGATGTTATTTTTACTAACAAAAAATAAAATCTTTAACACTGTTTTTTTATTAATAAAGAAACAATCTACAGCATGTCTGAAAAAGATCTTTATCATTCTAAACGAAAAACGCGGTCCTTAAGGCCATTTTTGACAAAATTTTTTTTTCAATTTTTGGAATGT